ACATAACAATACATAAGAAACATATGTGATTTGTGGGAACCATACATTTTGAAATGAAATGAACAAACACTGATATTACTTAATTTGTATTTCCTGGAACACCCTTCTGTTACTTAGGGCAGTTACTCAGATTCAGCATAGAATTCCAGTATCTCAGTCTCAAAGATCCTGTATTTTTCTTTTCCATAAATTCAGTCCCTGTATGGCATCAAAAAAACTGTTGATCCAAAACACTGTTATATTAACCCTGTTCTCACTTTCCTTGTCATGTTCAGTCACCAGATGATTGAAGGGTGACACTTGGTGACCTTTGCTCAATTGAAGGGCATTCAATAAAGGATGTATGGGTGACTCTATCTGTGGGTAGTCCCTTATATATGATCAGAAACACCTGGTGTGAACAAAATCTTCATGTCTTCACTGGACCTCAAGTTAGCACTGATGGAATTGGGTAGATAATATGAAAGTGAATTGCATTACCTTGAACACCATTTGCTTTTCTGTTACCTCCTGCATTCCAAAGGGCTTGGGTGCAATTTTCACAGTGTTGGTGGATTCAGGGTTTTCAAAAGTGAAAATCACATGCAGCCCTTAGGGCACATTGCCCCACCCCATTTTTTGAGAAAGATAATTCTGACTATTTCCCCAACAAAGCCTAGTCCTTGATGGGCCATCATTCCACCTATCCAATGGGCTCCTCTAGTTGCTGAGATTATGGAGGATATACTGGAAAATATTGAGGCTTCAAGTGGCATATAAGAAGCAACACTCAAAAGATCTGTCCTAGGGCTGTGCATGAATGCATTTTTCAAAATGGGCCCCAGCTGTTTCGGCTCTTTTGACCAGCCATAACAGCACGGCCGCTGCTGCCATTTTTTCTCCTGTGCAACAAAACATATGACTGCTGAAAATGGCTGCTTTTCATTTCTTTTGACTATCTGTTAAGTGTGGAGAGGGAGGCAGCCATGCACACGGGTTTCCCTGTGCAGCTGTGAGCCCTGCTGCCTGCCTGAGCCAATCAGAAGGAAGCCGCCCATGTGATCTGTGTTCTTTATCAGTGCTTTCAATCTCTTAGGATCATGCTTTTGTGACTCAATTTCAATATTTTCCATTGACAATATAATTTATTTTTCTTAATTTCATACCTTTCATTCCTTTTTGTTTGCTATTTTGCTAGGGAAGTCAGGGTGAGTGTGCGTTTGGTGGTGTGTGTGTGAAAGGGTATTCCTCCCCAGGTAAATGCATGATTCTAAATGGTTCTAAAGTGCTTACAAAACTAAAGTTCTGGTGGTGAAAATTTCAAACTCTAACAAAACTCTCAAAATTTCATTATAAATGGCAGTTCCTAATTGATTCTGTCATAAAAATTGCCAATAATGAAATAATAATTAAATTTTGAAAGTTTTGTTAGAGTTCTGAAATTTTCACCACCAGATTAGTTTTGTAAGTACTTTAGAACCACTTAGAACCATGGATTGCCCAGGCCTCCCTCCCTCTCTCCCTCCATTCCCCCCCCCTCTCTCTCTCTCTCTATATATATATATATATGTATGTATGTATGTATGTATATGTATATATAGTGTCTGTGATATGAGTGCTGCTGAGTCAAGTGGCCAGGCTTTTAGGGGAATGAAAGCCAGAGGAAGAAGGAGAGGTTCCACTGAATCTCGACCAGATCCTTCCATGGGATACCTTTTTTGGGAGGTTTCTAGAAACTTCAAGAATTTCCTAAAACTCAGGGGATGACCCAAAAATTCTAAACCTTGAGGGGCTGACAGTGCTAGGTCCTCCAAGTATTGCCATTTGCATTCTAAAATGACAGAAAGGGAGCCTTGGAAGTTCCCCCATTACTGCCAATGGGCCAGATCTTCCCAGAGTGAAAACAGATACTTTGGCCGCTAGATCGAAAAATGACATTTTGCTTTGCTGAATTCAAGAAGGTCCCAAAAACAGAATGGTGGGAGGCACTGAAATCGGGACATTCAAAACAACACGGGGTTTACCCAAATTGCACACCCCATACTATGTTCATCCTTGACAACAAAGGAACCTATATCCTATATCATTTTAGCAGTTTTACTTGTTAAATATTCTAGATGTAACAGGGAAACACTTTCTACCCTGTTCGCCTTTCTAAAAATGACTCTGTAGAGATGTCTTCAGTCAACCTGTGGAGGCAAGTGAAAATTAGAAAGTGGTGTAAAAAAGGGGGAGGGGGACAAGGTAGAAAAACAGCCCTCAGTCACCTTAGAAAATGAACATCTCTTATCCTCTGAAGCTTAAATAGCAGCAGGAAATAAGGAGAAAATAACTCTTTCTAGCTTGTCTGGTTTTATCAAGGCACTCATCTGCACAGTAGGAGGAAGATAGGGATGGCAAAAGAAAAAGGGAGCAATTCACCTTAAACAAATTTTATCACTAGGTAACACCATAAAGTCCAGGGACAGAAGGAAAGGAAAGGAAAGGAAAGGAAAGGAAAGGAAAGGAAAGGAAAGGAAAGGAAGCTGCTGTTTTAGGTTAACACCAGAGCTTAATATCAGACCCATTACTCTTTTAATTCAAGAAATCTATTGGAATGAAAGATCTACCTGTTATGGTCCAATAAAAATGGATGCTCCTGTATGTGCTCAATATTCTTTCTTCCAAATGTCTATTTATTGTTCATCAGCCTTCCATTGATGCTGAGAACTTTGGATCAAAATCTAAATGCTTCTTTGTCTTCCTGAGCTCATGTTTAGTGCATAAGAAAAGCATGCCAGTTGACAATATGAGGGTATACATTATAACTGGACTGAAGATGAAGAAGAAAATAGTGTCAAACTTTCCGAATTAAATTAAAGTTCATTGGAAGGTGCTTTTCAATGATATTAAAAAGTCAATGGAGAGCAAATAATTTTACCAAAATAATGCAAGAGCTTTATTTGGCAGGTTTACAAAAGGTATAATTGAGCTCTGTAGTGCTTGGCACACGTGTGAGACTATCTCCTTTGGGGAATGTAAAAATGCTTTATAGATCATTAACTTGCATCTTGAAACATGACTGTGAAGAACAGCTAATGCAATATGCTCTGGACTGGTCCATGCATTCAGATCTTCTGCTGAGGTCTTTCTTCAGGTGTTTCTATGAAAAGCACAAAATGCATTAAACACACGACAGAGCTTTCTCACCACTGGCACTTTGACTCTGATTTGCCCTCCTATAATCCTAGTAGTCATATTGCAGTATTTCTGCTGCTCTGTATTTGCATCTGGTGGAGTTGTCTTTAAGAATTATGGTAATGTTTTTAATTGCTGTTTTCCTATTGTGTTTGATTGTTGTCATGTAGTGGATTGTTCACTAACATAAACAGAGTGATAGAGCTGGGTTTTACATGTAATTTTTGTTCAATTGATATGTGAACTGTGCTATTAAGTCAACCCTCTGTATCCATAGATTCTGTATCCACAGATCCAATGATTTGAAAATATTTCCTCCAAAAGAGTTCATTGATTTTGCTATTATAAGAGATATTATTTTATTATGCCATAATATTTAATGGGATGATAAAAACATCAATTCATCCAGGCGTCCCCTGGGCAACGTCCTTGCAGACGGCCAATTTTCTCACACCAGAAGCGACTTGCAGTTTCTCAAGTTGCTCCTGACACAACCAAAACATTTAATGGGACTTGAACATCCATACATTTTGGTACCCATGGAGGTCCTGGAACCAAACCCTAGCAAACACCAAGAGCCCAATGTAGCTTGGGTCTCCCACAACGTCATCATACGGTCTAATTTGCCCATTGCTGCTTGCTCTCCCCTTTTGCCACAGAGCCTGTGACATGACATACACTTACTTTTCCTCTGGTCTCCATGACAAAAAGAAAAAGCAAGCAGCATACAATGAAACAATGGGTAGACACTTCCCCCCATGGAATGAAGCCAACTGTAAGTTGGGTGATGTGAGGCATGGGGCAATGGGTTCTCCATGCCCCCCGTTGTGACCCCACCCCATGGATTTACCACAACATGTGGTGAATCTATATGCCAATGTGATAAGGTCCCTAGTAGGAAGACAAAACTCATGGCAGGCCAAGCTAGAGAAGAAGAAGGAGGAGGTGTGATATTATTTGAAGAGAAGGAAGAAATATGTTATTTGAAGAAGTGGCTTTAAAGCCTGTGTACTCATCTCCTCCACATTTCTAACAGGTGCCTGGTCTCATTGATTCAACATTAAGAGGGCTTTATGTATCTTTCACTTGAGCAATAGTACACCAAAAGACAAATGGAGGAGAGGGAAGAGCACTAGTATGTGCATGCAATTTCTCACATCATGTATCATGTTGACTAAGGCAGTGAGCATTATCACAACTTTCTAGAGGCTAAAGCTCTACATTACTCAGTTTATGCCATTCTATACCCGTTTCTCTCGCTGCCTAAACTGGAAGGAAGCAAGAGATATATGAAAAGTAATGTTGGGGGGGGGGGTTGAAATACCAATAATTGACAGTCTATTTGGGGGGAAAGCAGTAAATGAGCTGTCTTCTCTACCCTCTCCTTTAATGTTGGTCATCTACTCAAATATGTACCTACAAACACATGAGTCCGTATGTTTGAAAACTTTGAAAATACATCGATTATTTAAACAATTTGTTTAAAACATTTTTCCCAGAGAACTTGTGGTTTTTTGCAAAAAGGAAATTTGCAACAAAAAGGCCTCCTTTATGCAATATTTAGAGTAAAGTCTTCAAAACAGTTTAAACAATTGCTTAAAGGAACATATAACCTAATTCACTGAGAAGTGAGTGAGATTGTGTAACTTCAGATATGATAAAATCCAAGCACAGAAGACAAGTTCCAAAATAATAAAACAAAATCTAGAATGTAACTTTTAAAGCAGATTTACGTTTCGAATCTTGCTGTATACATATATAGATAGTTTTCTCAATTGATATGTTTACAAGTTATGGACTAACAAACTGACATGTTTCTCTTGATTTCTGTCTTTCTTTTGCAGGCAGTGAAGGTTCTGGAGAAACTGTTCAAAAAGAAACCTCCACCTGTGACATTTGTCAGTTTGGGGCAGAGTGTGACGAAGACGCAGAGGATGTCTGGTATAGAAATCTATTGCTATGCTCATTTGTTTTGGCAGGCTTGGTTTTTCCTTACATGACCTTTTTTTCCAGGCTGCACTCAGATGCTAATATTATTGGTTGCCTTTGAGGTGGAAACAGAATTATCCCTTCTTTCTGCTTTCTGTTCTTTCCATGTTGAAGAGTTGTTTTGTACAGGCATGTCTGCATCCTCACTAAATGCACATAACCAATTTTTTAGCAATTCTACAAAAATGGATTTAGAGACTGGTTATGGATTTCATACAGGGCCCTGTGTTATGCTGTCTTTGAATATATAGATTACCCCCCCCACACACACACACACACACACACACACACACACACACAAATTCATTTGTACATTGATGACCATTTTCACTGATGGAGTGCTGAGATAACAAATTCAGTCAGCCCTCCAGATTTGTGAATTCTGAATCCATGGATTCAACTCCTCACAGCTTGAAAACCTTGATTTTGTCCTTTTATATAGTTTTCATATGGAAGATTTTTCAAACTGAAGATCAAACTAGCTTATTTTCTGTTACTCTAGAGCAGGGGTCCTCAAACTATGGCCCGGGGGCCTGATATGGCCCTCCAAGGCCATTTACCCGGCCCTTGCTCAGGGTCAACCTAAGTATGAAACGACTTGAAAGCACGCAACAACAACAACAACAACAACAACAACAACAACCCTATTTCATCAGCCAAAAGCAGGCCCATACTTCCCATTGAAATATTAATAAGTTTATATTTGTTAAAATCATACTTCATTTTAATTATTGTATTGTTTTTAAGTGTTTTTGCACTACAAATAAGATATACGCAGTGTGCATAGGAATTCATTCATGCTTTTTTCAAATTATAATCTGGCCCTCCAACAGTTTGAGGGACTGTGACCTGGCCCTCTGTTTTAAAAGTTTGTGGATCCCTGCTCTAGAGCCTAGGGAGATTGCCATGTCATGGTCTAGCAATGTCTTTGAGCATTGCAAACCTTTTCTCATAGAAAGCTGGAACATGCCAGCATAGCTCTTCCTCCTTTATAGCACTATATGAACAAAGATTGAACTATCGCTTACCTGTAGACCCCCACCCCCAAAGGTGCTCTGTCATGTCCCTTTTCTTCTTCTGAGCAGAAGAACAGTGCAATTTTGAGATTTGGGGCATTATTGCGAGAGTCTGCCATTTCATGTTTTCATTTTGCAGTTGCATAGTAATGTAGTTCTGGGTTTCCATGGATGTATAAATCTCTCCATACCTCCCATCATAACAAATATGGATGACACAATAAATATGGATAATGCAATTTCTAGCCTTATGTAAGCCACCCCGAGTCCCCTTGGGGGAGATGGAGACAAGGTATAAATAAAGTATTATTATTATTATTATTATTATTATTATTATTATTGTTATTATTATTATTGTTGTTATTATACACATTAATTTCCCAAATTACATCAGCAGTATATTCCCCATGAAGGGAATGTATATACAGGAAACCAGGTAGCACCAGAAAACAACTGCAAAATTATTCAGTCACCTTACAAAAATTAAAGGAAGTGAACAGGCTGAAAAGGAAAGTAAAATATATGCAACTTAAGGTCCTCTCCATCTGCTTGCTGGAGGTTGAATGACCATAGCTTGGGAACAGTGGAGCTGAGAAAAGCAACTCCTACAAGACACCCACAACACCACATGGATTCTTCAAATCTTGCTTCGGCACTATTGTTAACACTTGAATGAAATACTTTGAGGAGCCTATTCACAGGTTTCCTCCATGAATTTATTTACTTTATTTGTATACCGCTCTTCTCAGCCCTTAGGCGACTCAGAGCGGTTAACAACACAGTTTCAATATACATAGTACAAAATCATTGGACATTTAAAGCAATAGTAAACAATTAATTAAACAACAAACATCCAACATCAATATAACAAATCCATCACATCTCATCGATAGAATCAGAATCCAGTCTCATTATCCTTATTCCGTGTTCCAATAATCAATTACACTGCCTAGTCGAATGCCTGTTCAAAAAGCCAGGTCTTCACTTTCCTTCGGGAATGACCAAACAACAGAGATGAAATTTGGGATGCCACAGCTTTGAAATGACATACAATAAGCAGTGTGAACTCTCGCTGATAACCAGCCACAAATGCATGCCCTAACCCGCAAATGATATTGTTCTAGGATACAGAGCAATAGATTCAAACTGTAGGAAAAGGGATTCCACCTAAACATTAGGTGCTATAACTATAGCAGGTCAAGAGTGGAAAACACTCTCTCATAGTGTGGTGGAGGTTTAAAAACCAGCATATGGATGGCTGTCGTGAATGCTTTGATTGTGTATTCTTGCATGGCAGCAGTTTGACTGGATGGCCCTTTTGCTGTCTATTATTTGATAATTCTACTATGCTGTTGTATATAATTGGATTTGAGTGTCCACAGATTTTGGTATACATGGCAGGGTCATGGACCAACCCCCTACAGATACCAAGGACCCAGTGTAATGTACTTACAGACTGAGCTCACACTTCAGCAGGAAGTTAATGGTATCTCCACTCTGTCATTGCGTGTTTGCCTGTTTTTAAAGCAGTGCCTAGCCCTCTAATGAGGATAAAAAGAATATTAAAATATGTTTCTTGAGTGCCGAGGAATGTTTATGCAAAGAATCTTAGCTTGAATCAAATGTACGTGTAGTTTGGGACTTAATTCTGCACAACATTAACACGCAAAGTGGAGTGTTGCAAGAAAAAAAATTCTTGTATTAGTGAGATATTCATGCCTGTTTCTTTGCACATAAAGTAATATTTAAATTTTTTACACAGAATAAATCCCACACTACAAATAGTCTTCAAAACCTGCAGTTTCCAAGTGCTTTATTCCAGGAGGAAAATATTGGCTAAAATTATTCATTTCTTGCATTTAGAATTATTTTGGAAAATAATTACATCCTGGCTCTCAAATCTATTTGACAAACTGCAATGTGTCATTGAGTTGTTTTTTTTTTATTTCTACCCAAGGTTTTGAGGGCCACCAGTCATTTCAGGGCTGTCCCAAGACAACTTGATGCCAGCATCAAAGAATATGATGCTGCCAGTATTGAGATCATGGAAAGTGTGTGTTTGAAGAATGTGTTTGATGAGAGTCTTGAGTCCTTTATAACTGCATAATGGTTGGATTATGTTTTTAGGATACACTCTTCTTAAAAGAAACACTTATTCAATACTATCAAGAGATAAAGTACAACCCAATACATGTCACAGGAGTAAGCGCCACAGAATTTAATGGGGTATATGCCAAGATATATGTATAGGAGGCTAGCTGTGAGCCTGTTTCATTGTGTTCAGCCAGGCGTAGCTTTTGTCTTCACTTCATTGCCACTTACCCAGCCTGGTCTACCCATCCATAGCCCTGCCAGCCTAGGGCAGAGGTTTCTGCAGCTCTTGTAAATCAGCAGCACACAAACTCAAATGAAAAGTCTGCCTAGATAAAAAAGAAATGCCATTTGTGATTGCATACACACATGATGAGATTCAGCAGATGGATGTACAGACACATCAGGGTAAACTATGTTTAATTCAAGGAACATTTTAATGGAAAGCGCTTTTTTAAAACTTGATATTCCAAAACAAACATGACAGCTGATTTTCATCAGCATCTTTGTGGGTGGGAGAATATCTCACTTGTTCAAATAAATATATCAAAATCTCTAAGTACTGTCTTAGAAAGCAAGTTAATGTATATATTTCCCAACAGAAGGGGATATGAATGATTGGTTAGAGAATGCCATTGAAGTGATGATGGCATACACACCCACAGCTATAAGATCTGGGAGTTTATTGATAAAGATCAAGTTAATCAAAGGAGGAAAAGTTTGATTTATTGTCTGCCTGCAGTATTTCCCTGTCAGAAGGAAACCTGTGCTGATTTCTGATTTTGCTTCTTTGAAGCATCTCAGCCCCTTAAATCCATATAAAGACTCCATGAGTTGAAGTGCTCCATATTAATTACAGGTCAGCTTTTACACGGGAAAAACAGTCCAATACTGCAATGTATCAATTACACATAAGAACTCGTCTACATGGGAGTAATGAGCTACACTCATTATGCATTTCATATTGAATGTTTTCACAGTATTCCTTCACTTCTGATATGTATTGCAGGGCAGACCAAGTTAATCCAGATTGGTCCCATGTTAAGAGAAATCAAATAATATTTTTGAGTTTTCCTGAAACTTTAGAGCAACAATGCAGCCTCTTTGCAGAAGCTCTGGGCCAGTCCCCCCCCCCCTAATGTGCCAGGAACGGGTACCACATTTGAAACTAATGGCAACTAATATTTCTTTGCTTCTGTGAAATTCCCAGCAAATTGATCAATGGTGGAGAAGGGCGCAACACATGAACCATTACTTTGAGTAGTACTGCTGTGGATGGAGACCAGGTGATCCCAGGTTATCCCTCACCTTCTTGAGAGGGAGAAGTTTATCAAATGATTCAGACCAGAAATGTAGACTGCAGACTGAAACTTTCTGATTATCTAGGCATAATATAAATTTGACACTGTCATCATTAACACCACAATCTTTAAAAGCAAGAAGACTTTATGCCTGAATGGATAAGACAGGTTTTCCACGTTCTCTGTAAATACAGTTCTAAATTCAACACTGGATAATCAGAGCCTATGGGAAACCAGTATTGTATAGTAGTTTGAGTGTTGGACTAAGACTCTGGAAAATCAAGGGGTTTTGTATGTGATAAAAACACATGGTATATGACCATTTTAGCAGTGAAAGTACTTATTTTAGGCTTTGAAGTGATATTCCAAAATTCACTTCTTGCTCTACAGTAAAATCTGTTTTGCTGCATGTGTATGGTCTCGGTCAGGGTCATCTTGGAGGAAAGGCAGGACTGGGGGGAAAATGTCACATTTTTTCATGTCCAGTGTTAATTTCTGGGGTGTACGCTTTGTAGCATTACAGATCCCTTTGTAACATTGCAGA